CAAAATCTGAAGCAGGCTCCAGGTTCCCAGCTGTCAGCACAGAAACTGACATGGGGCTCGAACCCACGAACCCTGAGATCATGACCTGAACCACTTAACCAACTGAGCAACCCACGTGCCCCCAAAATGTTGTGTTTTTAATTAATGCAAAGCATGATTGCTTGTGGCTTCTTAAAGATTTCCAGCCAACACAGGGAAATCATGCACACGCTTGTGTTACCATAAATACTAACTGGCTTTTCTTTGATATTCTTGCATTTCCTTATCTGCTTTAACTTCTCTGCCAGAATCACTTTTTTTTTTTTGGCATAGTTTTTAATAATTAGAAGAGCTATTTCCAATGTCATAATTAGAGCAATGAAACCTAAGACAACTGTTTGGGACATCGGGATTTTCTCCTTTCTGATTCTCTTGGAAACACCTTACCAGCCCAGAATTAGGTCTTAGAAGCACTACAACATAGGAGTTACAAAGTGGAAATGGCTCCAAGAGATACTTCCCAGGCCCGCAAATCTAGAGATCAAAATAGAGATGGTGCAAAAGATCTCTGCCATATTACTACTTAGGAATTTTGTTTCAAATGCGAATATAGTTCTCTAAATTCAGCAGCTTGTAAGTAGTTCTTCATTGATAGGTTTTTCCATTTATCTGCAGAACTTCTGATCTTTGGATTGAGATTTTTCTGAATACAGTTTGGGATTGTTCTAATTCAGTGGTTTTCAAAGTGTGATTCCCAGACAGCAGCCTCAGCTCTATTCGGAATTTGTTAGGAATGCAAATTCTTGGGCCCCACTCCAGGCCAACTGAATGAGAAACTCTAGGAGGTGGGTCCCAGCAATCTGTTTTATCACGCCCTCCAGGGGATTCTAATGCAAGCCAGAGGTTGAAAACTATTGTTTAAATTCTACGTGTTTATTTTTAATTTTTAATGTTTTTACTTATTTCTGAGAGAGAGAGAGAGAGAGACAGCGTGAGCAGGGGAGGGTCAGAGAGAGAGAGAGACACACATAATCTGAAGCAGGCTCCAGGCTCTGAGCTGGCTGTCAGCACAGAGCCCGATGTGGGGCTCGAACCCACAAACCGTGAGTTCATGACCTGAGCTGAAGTCGGACGCCTAACTGACTGAGCCACCCAGGAGCCCCTCAATGTGTTTACTTCATAGATTGGGAAATTAAGGGCAGCTGTAAATGATTTCACTAGGGCATATAGGTATTAAGGGCTGTAAATACATTTGCCAATGCATTTTGAGGGCAGATATATAAAATTAATTCATACTAGCTTATCATAATATGAAACCTCTTCTCAGATTCCTTTATTATATAACTTTGATAAGTTTTAGAAATAATTATCCTATTCCAAATCATCTCAGAAGCCCTAACTCTCACCTTAACAGAATGCCTTCCTTCAATCATATATGTGTGGTGTACACATGCATATAAAATAATATTTTTCAAAGTTCATATGATAGAAACTATAAAGATCTGAATTTGCAGTTGGGCTTTTTATAGAATTTTTTTCTAGGCTATATTTTATCTTCCCAATTTTCAAAGCTCTTACGATAAAGTAGAGGTTACTTCCTACCAAAGAAATCTCAGATTAAAAGTTTATAGGTAATACATATTTTATATTTAGTTCCTCCTTTTTACTGAACTATTTTACCACATAAAATCTATAGATCTAGGCATTCAGTTCAATGAACTCTGAGAATTGTACACATCCATGTAATCATCACCCAAAACAAGATAGAGAACATTTTCATCACCCCAGAAAATTCCTTTGTGCCCCTTGACAATCAATTCTTACTCTCATCCCTTATAACCACTTTCTGCACTTCTATCACTATGGTTTCAATTTTTCTTGTTGTTAGACTTAAACTAAATGGAATCACAGAATATACTGACTTGTATATGGCTTGTTTCACTTAACATGTTTTTGAGATTCATTCATGTTGTGGGTATCAGTTTTTTTTTTTAATTCCTGATTAGTATTGTACAAATATATCAAAATGTGCTTATCTTACCTATTTTTAGTAACAATTTTTATCTTGTCACAAAAGCAATTTATGCTGAATATAGAAAATTATAGACTACAAATGAGGGAGGAAGAAAATAAGTATCCATAATTCCACTCTCCAGACATAATCACCATTTAATAACTTGTATATTCTCTTTGAATCTTTATTTATGTAAGTTGTCCACATATATAATACATAGTTATTATATATATTACAAAAATTCTCATTTTAGATTCAAGTTTTACTACTTTGATTCTGTTAGTGTGTTAAATAAGCACAAGTCTTAGTTTAGAATATTTTCTAATTAAAAGATTTTTAAATTATACATGAATACACGTTTATTTCCAAAAATTCAAATAACACAATATATATCAAAAAAGTAAATTTTCCTATTCAAACGCCAATTTTACTTCTTTTCTCATAGGTAGCTGGTGTTAACTAAATACAAAATTTTTACCAAGATGATATTTATAAGGACCATGAAGTGCTGAATTTATTATCACATGATTTTTCTAAGTTTTTCTTTATTAAAAAAATTTTTAATGTTTATTTTTGAGAGAGAGACACACAAAGTGTGAGTGGGGGAGGGGCAGAGAGAGAGGGAGACACAGAATCCAAAGCAGGTTCCAGGCTCTGAGCTGTCCTCACAGAGCCCAAACTGGGGCTTGAACCCATGAACTGTGAGATCATGACCTGAGATGAAGTCGAATGCCTAATTGACTCAACCACCCAGGTGCCCCCTAAGTTTTATTTCTTTATTTTTATTTTCAAGTTTTGTTATCTATACACCAGTGATCTTTTAGTTGGGATGAAATTATATAATAGCAAATGATCACATTAGGACCAGTTCTAGTATTATATAGTTTGCTCTCCACTTCAAAATAATGGTTTTTAAATATTTTTTCTAGGCGTGAATAGAGTGCGATCTTCAAGTTTTCAGATTGTTGAGTGGATTTATTCCTATCTGTTGTCGGAAGCCTAGATATGTATAGCTCCATGTATGTTGATCTTTACTTACATATAGCAAACCTCTAATCTTCGATGATACATTGCCTTTTCTCCATTTACACTGGTTCGCACTTCTACACCAAGCTACTTATAAATTGTCGTTAAACTTTAGAGACTATCCGTCAGATGCAGAATCTTACTAAAGAAAACAATACAAAGTATTATTTAATTTACTCCAGAAAAGCACTTTGTTTCATTAACTACTTTGTTTCTTTTTCAATGTTTGTTTATTTTGAGAGAGAGAAGAAGGCAGAGGATCCAAAGCAGGCTCTGCGCTGACTGCAAAGAGCCCCATGTGAGGCTTGAACTCACATACCATGAGATCATGACTTGACCCAAAGCTGGCCACTTAGCAGACTGAGCCACCAGTTACTTTGTTTCATGAGTATTTTCCCCAGAAGGAAATTGTGGCTTGTGTTGACAATCAAAGATGAGGACTAGATTAACGTCTTAATTTGTACTTTTATGGACCTCTGCGTTCAACAGGGTATAGTCCTGGCAGGCAGGCTGTTGGGGGGAGAGGGGGTCCAGAAACTCCTGGCTTCTCTCTAGATCACTACAGATCCCAAAGATTAAGTTACTTTCTTTTGACTTTGAAGCTCATATACCCAGAGGCAGGCAAAAAAAAAAACCCTCCAAGTGAGTTTTACTTGGAAGTCTATTTTGCACTCTTGGTTTTAGGGCCAGAACATGCATATTTTAGGTGAAATGGCATATGCAAAGTTCTATAGCTCCTCCAAACTCACACATCAAAGGGCTGTCCTCTCAAGATGGAGCTACTAAGATTTTGTTTTGGTGATTAGAGGACAATACAGTCTTACATGTGCAGAGCCCCATAAAGTTTTAAAATTATCTCAAAATATTTCCATTATTATAATATTGAAATAATAGCCTGTTAAAACACTTCTAAATCATCTCATTTAATTCCCCATAAGAAGTTTGGAGGCTTATTCTGAGTTTTTATTAGCAGTTATGGGCTCTGTCCTGGAGACGAGGTTCAGAAATACTTAAAACTGTTGCTGCCCTTAACCTCTCACAAGGTCAAGCCTGTGAAATTTAGCATTTTTGTAACTGGGAATGGTCCTGCCCTTGGGGGCCTCCAGGTGATTGCTGGGGCTGGTTTTCTTCCTGGCCGGTGACTGCAGTGACTTTTAAGCTAACAAGGAATTCTTTATTAAACGTGCAAGTTACCACCTCCTGCTCGGAGCTCCAGCGTCGCTCCACTGTTTGTGCGCACTGTAAGTTCTGTACCCAAGGGTGAGGTAACAACGGTATATTGTTGAATAAGACAGGGTACTAACTGAAGCTGGTGAAATTCTCAGCCCTAATTCTGCGGGGATCAGCACTCCCTGACGCTCTGTACTCTTGCTCGAAGAAGCTAGGTCTTTCATTCTGAAGTTTGTGTACCCCGCCCCGTCCCCTAAATAGGGGCTGCAGTCCACCCGAACCTGAAAGAGAATTTGGTGAAGGTAATCTCTTCTCAGGAGTCTACATTCTTGAAAAAGCCCATTCTTAAAAGTCTGGGTTCACCAGCTGCATTCACGTGGCATTGGCTGGACTCTTTCTCAGATGACTGCTTTGTGTCCTCTCTTGATTTGTTTTCTAAAAAAGGCCACATCGTCCAGCAGCGCTAAACCGACGGCCCGCCCCGGACATCGCAAGGAAGAGAAACACTTGACCTCTTTTCTAGATACTCCCCATGGTCGAAGGAGAGGTTGAATTGAGCCTCCTAAATCCGCCCTGCCACCTCCCAACCCTGTCTCCCCGCCCGCCGCTGTAGCCCCAGGGCCTTTTAATCCCGGTCCCAGCCTCGGCAGGGGAGAAGAGGTGGGGCTCAGGCGGAGGGAGGCGGCGCGCAGCGGTACCTAGTGGCGCCGCCGGGCTGCTCCATCCAGAGTACGTGGCGCTACCGGCGGAGAGAGGGGGAGGGGATTCAACTCTCTCCTCCCCACGCCGGTCTCCGGGTCATCCCGCTGAGGCAGGAGGGAGGATCCGCGAGAGAACTGGTGCGCTCGTCGGGTGCAATCTCAGCAGATGAAAGCAGCCTGCCAGCGGCCAGCGACCGTCCTACTCTCCACGGGTACCCGCTACGAATTCTGTCCGCGTTTCACCGCGAGGAGCTGCGACCCGACTCGGGGCGAGGGGGCACGCACTTGCCACCGCGCATGCGCGGGGCAGGGAGCGGCCCGCCGGACTACAGCTCCCAGAGGAACCCGCCGCCGGCCGCGGGAGCCGAGCCGCTGGCGCCATCTTGAAATCTGATCCCCGATCTCCGGGTCTTTGCGTCAGCAGCAGGGTGCTTGCTCGCGTACTGCGAACCCAGCCTGCTAAAAGGGAGGACGTTGGGGACGCGGCGGCTGGCGGGAGGCACAGCCGGAGGAGAGATGACTGGTGGCGAGCGTGGCCTGCGCTGCTGTCACGGAGCATCCCCTTAAGGCGTTTTTACGCCCGCCCCCTTCCCGAGGGGCGGGGCTGCCCACCCTGGTACCCAGAGCCCGCGCCCGGGTGGGCGAGGTGCGCCCCTGCAGGGAGGGGACCCCACCGAACTGTGCCATGCCCGCCGGAGGCCGCGGAGGAGGGAGACGCCGCGCAACCGAGCGCCAGTGAATGAACACCAAGCAGCAGTCGCTTCAGGGAAGCTTGGCTACTGCTGGGAGAGAAGATGAAGGAGATTTGCAGGATCTGTGCCCGGGAGCTGTGCGGAAACCAGCGGCGCTGGATCTTCCACACGGCTTCTAAGCTCAACCTCCAGGTTCTGCTTTCGCATGTCCTGGGCAAGGATGTCTCCCGGGATGGCAAAGCCGAGTTTGCTTGCAGCAAGTGTGCTTTCATGCTTGATCGGATCTATAGATTCGACACCGTTATTGCCCGGATCGAAGCTCTTTCCATTGAGCGCTTGCAAAAGCTGCTGCTGGAGAAGGACCGCCTCAAGTTCTGCATTGCAAGCATGTATCGTAAGAACAACGATGACTCTGGCACGGAAGCCAAGGCAGGGAATGGGACGGTTGACATTTCCGGCTTACCTGACGTGAGATACTCTGCACTGCTCCAGGAGGACTTTGCCTATTCAGGGTTTGAGTGTTGGGTGGAAAACGAGGATCAGATTCAGGAGCTCCACAGCTGCCATGCTTCGGAAGGTCCTGGAAACCGACCCAGGAGATGCCGTGGTTGTGCAGCTTTGCGGGTTGCTGATTCTGACTACGAAGCCATTTGTAAGGTGCCTCGAAAGGTGGCCAGAAGTATCTCGTGTGGCCCTTCTACCAGGTGGTCCACCAGCATTTGCACTGAAGAACCAGCGTTGTCTGAGGTCGGCCCACCGGATTTACCAAGCACAAAGGTACCCCCAGATGGAGAAAGCATGGAAGAAGGGACACCAGGATCCTCTGTGGAATCTTTGGATGCAAGTGTCCAGGCTAGTCCTCCGCAACAAAAGGATGAGGAAACGGACAGAAGTGCAAAGGAACTTGCAAAGTGTGACTGTTGTTCAGAAGAACAGGCTCCACAGCATATGTGTAACCACAAGCTGGAGCTAGCTCTCAGCATGATTAAAGGTCTTGATTATAAACCCATCCAGAGTCCCCGAGGGAGCAAGCTTCCCATTCCGGTGAAATCCAGCCCACCTGCAGCCCGGCCTGGCCCTATCATGACAGATGGCGTTAGTTCCGGTTTCCTTAACAGGTCTTTGAAACCCTTAGACAAGACATCTGTGAGTTACCCCTTGGAAATTTCAGACTTGCAGGAGCTATGGGATGATCTCTGTGAAGATTATTTACCACTTCGGGTCCAGGTATACAAAATGGTGTACGTAGCGTTTTTCTGATTATAGTTAGCTGGCCTCAGCCTTCACGTGATTTCTGCCTGGGTGAAGGTTAATATTCTACACCTGAGAAAACGAATCATTGAGCCCTCGTTTGCTGCACCTTCGCTTGTGTCCCATTGTAGTATGCGCGCAATTCACGCTCAAAGAATGTGCTTTTCACAATCCTTGTAATCTATCTGTTGGCTTTCCTGTTCATTCTCAAAATCACAGCTCTTTTAAGACAAAAAGAGATTCCTAATTGACTTTTACCCTATAAAAAGACATTTAATCTTACACCTGGCACTAAAACTCTTTCCTCTTCCCTCCTTTTCCGTCCCCCACTTCTTCTTTTTTTTTCTTTGCTTTCATTTTTAGATATATAGATGCTTTCATTTAGATTTACAGATGTTTTCTCGCATTCTGTAAGGGAGCTCTCTAGTTCTCCCTGGAGCATCAATTATTTCATCCCAGAGGTATGTCTCAGACTGATTAGAATGTAGGCTAAAGGTTTGGGGAAAATCTATTAATCCACCAAAGTATTATACTATCTGGGCAATATTAATAATAAACATGTCATTGGAAGGCTAATGATGACTTGTTCATAAAAGAAACTTGGGAATTCAAGCGTTGTCATTAAAAACGTTAAGGCAAAAACTGTTCGTAGCCCATTTGCCTACTGAACTCTGTTAAGAGGATGTTTGACGTTAAGAAAGATTCCTCCGTTATTGGGCAATAGGAGTTTCATCCATTATACTCTTTAAATTTTTCTTTAAGTTTATTTATTTTGAGAGAGAGCCTGAGTAGGGTAGGGGCAGAGAGAATCCCAGGCAGGTTCCACACAGTGCAAAGCCTGATGCAGGGCTCAAACTCAACAAACCATGAGATCTTGACTTGAGTCAAAATCAAGAGTTGGACACTTAACTGGCTGAGCCCCTCAGACACCCCATCATCCATTATACTCTTGAATTTCTTAGTGATTAGAAGATGCCAGCTGATCTTAATTTGAGCTATTCATTTCTGCCCAATTGATTTCATACCAGCCTTTTAGGTTTAGCTATGTACAGGGACCTGACAGATGCTACTTTGTTTCTGCAGCAACCGTGGATGCTAACTTCAGTTAATTTTGTGAAACATCTGGCATGTTCTACCTGATACAGATTATCTAGTGATACCCTTACAAAAGTGGACAATCTAGAAGGCATTTTGGAAAGCCTGCTCCCAGTCATCGTCATCCCAGAAATCTAGAGCTTGATAATTGGTGAAATTGCTGATTGTCACTTAAAATTTTTTGAAAAATAATTCTATTATAAATAAAAGTTGTGTCAGTAAGAACTTAGCAGAAAAATGGGAGAAATATTTTTAAATTTACGTAAAACTGTCAAACAGCATATATAAAGTGTTATGAAAAGGATAGATATCAAAAAGTTTTAAAATGTGTTTTCGTCTGTATAAATGCCTAATGCTCTGCTTTGCTTTCATTTCTTAAAGTGGAGCATTGAAATTTGTCATCCTAATGAGCACATTTAAACTGCCTGGTAACTGTGTCTTTAGGTCAAGTCCCTTTACTTCATTACATTTGGACATTGGGGAAAAAATAGACCTTTAAAACTGTAGTGTGTGACCTTTCTGCTGTTACCTAGCTTAGATTCTTTACTGTTGGTACGATAATAAAAAACATCAAGAGGAAGGAGAAAACATTCAGCTTGAATCATGGCATTTAACTGTGATGCCATTTTCTCCAGTAATTAAGGAGGTGGGTGCAAATAGAAAGATTAAATTGGGCTCAGGGTGTTTGTAAATACAATGTGTATTTGCTCCCCCCCCCCCCCCGTGTGTTATTTAAGTCTAGTTGACTTTTAAGCTCCTTAAGAAGTCTTAAAGCCTGCTGTGCTTTATGTCAGAACCAGAGTTAACTGGGACAAAGGCAGACTGCTCATTGTCTGTTTCTCTGAACAAACGTGAAAAGAACAGGAGTAAATGTAAATTACTTCTGGTAGTTTTGTTCTTAGCTTGTAGAGAGGGGAAAAAAAATGAAAGAAAAAAATGTTTCTTTAGTTAAATTCTACTGCAAATACAAAGAAAAGCTGCTCTCCAGGATTGTTCTGAAAGGTCATTTTGATTCCTTTGTTTAATCCTCCACCTACCCCATTCTATACCCCCTTAAATATTGTCATCAGAGTTCCTTCTGATTGCTTTTTTCCTTTCTCTTCTTTGTTATGTTAAAGAAAAATAGCAACAGTGTAGCTCTCCTGCTTACTAATTTTTTGGCATTACGCAAATTGACTTCTTTGCCTTCCACAGAATTTATGCCTGAAAACCCAAGGTGGTTTAAATATCTAAAGAAAGATTGAAGCTGGTAATTTCCTTCTTTATTGTATGCCCCCCGAACTAGAAGATAGGAGGGGTGTGGTTGCTTAGTAAACATCAATTTAGCCCTGGCTCGTGCTGTTTCCTTTTCTATCTAAATTCAAAGAACCGTAGATCTTTGCGTTGCCTTACAACGCCAGGGTCTGCCCCTGTGTGACCATGGCAATTGATCCCCTCTCACAGTATAGTTACAGAACCTAGATAAGGCCCTTTGGGAGGAATAAACATTAGATGCTGGTCAGAGATTACGCCTTTAATTTTATGCTAGTTGATGGTTCTTGTGTGTCTCCTCTTATTAACAACAGGACAGACAACCACAGCAGTTAAAGATCTATGACTTGCTGTTGTAAGGACTAGGAGGTGCCAAGAAAAATGCTCTTAACCCAGAAGACCTAAACTGCCTTTTTAGCCAAGAAGTCTTACATTATGCAACATAGGGCCTGGAAGCAATTCTCTTTCCTGACGCTGGAAAGCATTTGTCCTAAATGAGTCAAAAGCAGCTTAACTTAAAATTGCATTATTACTATAATATGATTTTGGTAACCAGCAGTCTGGAAATTAGCGGTGATTCAGCCAAATCGAGCATTACTGATTTCAGGCTTTATAAAATCATCTTAAAATGATTGGTTTATGTATTTGATATGTCACAAGAATTCATTAGGAGCTGTTAACTCAAGGTCAGGGGACCTTGCTAAGTGCTGTTTTGGCAGACTTATCTGAAAGGACAGTTTTCTGAGATGAAGATTGAATAACGTTTCTAAGACTATTCGGTAATAAAGTGTTATGAATAAGGAAGAAAAAAAGTATCTTCCAGCCTTTAGGTCAGTGCGTTATAGAATAAGGGATTTCCTACAATTATTAAGGCCAAGATGGGTTCAGATGAGATACAGACTCATGTACTATTCTATGGCATTCTTTGGCCTTAAAGTTGCTGTTGAAATGTCTCTATTAAATATCTATCTCCATCTAGTCTTATTTCTAAAGAGCCACTGAAGGATTAGAGTACCGGACTGGAAATTAGGGCTGTTTGTGTTTGTTTCTGCTCTTGTTCTCTTATTCAACACAAACTTTTGGTCCCTACAATATTCCAGACATTATGGTAGGCAATGGACTTATGGAGAGGAAAGATACATTCCCAACTTCAGTGCATCTGGTTTAACTCAATCCTTTTCCTGATTTCCTGTGTAACTTCGGACATTACTTTCTCTAAGTCTCCATTTCTTCACATGTAAGATGGGATTAGATCAGATGGTTAGTTTATAAAGTTTCCTTCACAGCTCTGAGATTCTTTGGTTTAAAGTAAGTAAACAGGGGGTTGCCTGGGTGGCTCAGGTCCATGATCTCACGGTTTGTGGATTTGAGCCCCGCATCAGGCTCTGTGCTGACAGTTCAGAGCCTGGAGTCTTTTTTCGGATTCTGTTTCCCTTTCTGCTCCTCCCCTGCTCACTCTCTGTCTCTCAAAAATGAATAAACATTAAAAAAATTTTTTTTTATTTAGGTAAATAGGACCACTTTCCCTGCCATTTCAAACTTGCAGCTGTTTTCTTTAATTCTTCCTGTTATAGTTTAAATTTGAAAAATATCTGTAATAGACATTATTGGAAAGTTGTTTTGCACTGAGGAGCTGAGAAGCCAGGTTTTGTAGAGAATGTTTTATCATTAAGTAAATGATAAAATTATTTATTTATCAGTTAGAATTGTGAATATCTGTTCACATAGTTACCTCTCCCAGGGTGTGACCTAGTTCACAGCGCCTCAGGGCTAAGCTCCCTGTTACACCCACAACAACAAGCACCTCAATTTTTCTAGGAGTCATTATCCTTCGTTTCTCTTTGTCCCTCTTCTGCCTTCCAGTCCTGTTGACTGACCTTTCAAAACATATCCAAATATATCCAGTTCTGTCCTCCTCCCTTACTACCGCTCTCAGCCACTGTTCTCTTTCACCCACACTACGTACTGAAGCAGCCTTCTCTCTGGTCTCCGTGTTCCCACTGGTGCTCCCCAGGCCGGTCACCACAGAAAAGCTAGAGTGACCTTTTTAAAATATAAATATGATTGGATTACTTTTCTGTTAAAAACAGTGCAGTCCATTCTCATTGCAATGAGAATGAAATCCAGCCTCCTTCACCCTGCTGTAGAAGTTCTGTACTGGCCCCTACCTTTCCTTCTCATCATATATTCCTGTCCTCTGCTCATTACACTTGAGCCTGTGCTAGTCGGCCGGGTAGCCACTAGCCTTATGTGGCTGTTGAGCACTTGACATGTGGCTAGTCTGAATCGAGATAGGCCATGAGTGTAAAGGACACCCGTGATTTCAGAGACTTGGTTTGAAAGGAAGTAAAATACCTTGTTGATGGTTATTATATTGAATACATGTCTATGATCATTTCTTTTGATATACTGTATGGGCTCAGATAATATATTTTGTTGAAATTAAGTTCACCTTTTTTTTTTTTTTTTTTTTTTTTACTTCAGTCAATGAAGTTTACTACAAAAATTTAAGTTTATACACGCCTCACATCACATTTCTATCTGAAAATGCTGCTCTAGCCTCATAGATCTCTCCCAGGCTCATAGCCACTCTAGGTCATTTCCAGTAGCTGTTCCTGCTGCCTAGATTGTCCATCTGTAGCTCTTTGCAGGACTGGCTTTTTATGCTGCAGATCTCCATGTAACCAACGTAGAGCAACTGGTCAACCAGCTTAGAGTAACTTTATCGTGCTTTTCTATTTTACAGCATAGGGTGTGTCACTATCTGCTGTCTTGTGTATTTCCTTGTTCCTTTATTATATAGCTCCTTACTTCCAACTCCCATAGTGCTTTATATATTACAGTACTTAAGAGATGTTTTAAAAATGATAAATAGCATTAGAAGAATTAAAAAACTGTTGTTTTTTACCTGAAATCTTGTACTTCCAGTCCATTGCTGGCAGGAAGAGTTTGAAGGTAAGCTCTAACCCCACTGCCTAGAAGATGGTAGTCGAGAGTTTGAAAAGATGAGGGAATTGGAAAATGAGCAGCAGTTGTCTTTTTCTCTTCCTAATGGATTTATATTTTTTTCTCACTGGACTGGGGGGGCAGGAGTGGGAAGGGAAGGGTCAGGGAGAGAGGAGATGGATTTAATGCCACAATGAATTCCTGCAATTTTATTTTAGTACCCTTAGCTCATAGTGAATATTAGGTACAGTTCCATAAGTTTATCTTAGTCTGATTTATCATCACATTATGTAAGCAGTGTTTTTTTTTTTCCTCCTGAATCTTTTTGGTGAATTGCTATTCCTGTAAAACATACGTCCTTCCTAGACCACCATGGGTGTTGAAATTTATTTTTAATTCTGTTTTTACTGTTTTTTGAAATAACCTCAAATTTATAAGGAAGTCATAAGAGAAATACAGAGAACTCCCAGATTCACCAATTGCTAACATTTATCCAGATTCTCCATTTGCTAATATTTTGCTACATTTGCTGTTTCACTCCCACTGCCTATATAGACACATTATTTTTTTATTCCTGGACCATCTGAGAATTAGTTGCAGATATTATGAGTTTTTATACTAAATAAGCATGTTTCCTAAGGGCAAGAACATCTTTTATATAACTATAATTACTAAATTTAGGAAATTTAGTATTGATATTATAATGTATAGTTTATATTCAAAATCTGTCCATTTTTCCAATAACGTGAACAGGCATATTATAAGAAAGGCTGTTGAAACATACCCTTCTCTTCTTAAGGACGGTATAGGTTTGTTTATTGAATTCCCTGATTGGAAATAGGATAAAGTGAGTATTTGGTCATCATAAACATTTTCTTTTTTAAATCTTCCCTTTTCTTTAAACTAAATTATTTGTCTTAACTGAATATGTAGTGTTTGTGTGAGTTCATAGGCAAAGACAGGGAGAGGACCTGGGGATCTCATATGGAAGGGAGTAAATCAGTCCTCTTAATAAGGAACAGGATTGCCTTAGGAATTCATACTGCCAACTCATGCAACAATTTAGGTTTTCAAGCCTCTGCCAAAAGATGCCAGAGACCGTAGAAGAGAGTATTTATTGTTGGCTACATTTAACTGAAGTTTTTGTCTTGCTGCTGCTCCCTAGCCCATGTCTGAAGAGTTACTCAAACAACAGAAGCTGAATGCGGACGAGACCATTGTAACCCAGCAGTCTGTATCTGATGCCCACTTGGCAGAACTCCAGGAAAAAATCCAGCAAACAGAGGCCACCAACAAGGTACAATGAATCCAGCCCTTGGAGATCACAGGTCCTGAGTGGGACTTGGAAGATGGAAACTGTGTATTCCTGTTGTTCTAAGGAATATCTGTGTGTGTGTGTGTGTGTGTGTGTGTGTGTGCACTTTTTTTTTTAAAGTTTATTTATTTTGAGAGAGAGTGAGTGCGAACGGAGGAGGGGCAGAGAGGGAGGGAGAGAAGGAATGCCATGCAGGCTCTGTGCTGCCAGCGCAGAGCCCACCTTGGGGCTTGGTCTTGAGAACTGTGAGACCATGACCTGCGCCGAAATAAAGAGTCAGACACTCAACCGATTGAACCACCCAGGCACCTGGGCACTCTAAGGAATATTTGACCAAAACTGTTGTTCTTTCCTTTATCTCTCATCAAGATTTCAGCCTGTTCTGCACAGATCAGAATTTCTGGTGCCTTTTAGATCTATAATTAAAACTTGAATGCAGAGACCCCTGGGTGGCTCAGTTGGTTAAGCAAACAAACTTGAATGAATTCTTTACCTGTGTAAAGCACCAAGACAAGAGGTTTGTGCTTTTGATTTTAGCTTAACTTCTCACCCCTTTATAGCCCAAGGATTCTAACATTTACGTAGAAGAGAATTTCACCAGTTCCCACAATTTGGATGCTGAGCTTCTGGCAGAACACCTTGTGGTGGTCTGTCCCGTCCTAGATAGCAGAACTCCTTGGACTTTGTATAGAGCATCCACGGTGACTCGGGTGGACTAGTGCCCATCACTGCCCATCACACGGAAAGCACAGTGCAGGAGAATTGAAGCAATTGAGTACTGAAGGAAGTATTTCATGTTACCTGCTACTTTGTCTTGGTGATTGGCTTAGGACTTTAATGGCTACTCTCTGGGGAAAAAAATAACAAGGTAATATTATGTAGGAAATAGATTATCTAGATTTGAGGAAGGACTTTCTGGTTGCATCTGAGGTTAAAAGAAATCACTTTCTTTTCTGAATTCAGATTCTTCAAGAGAAATTGAATGACATGACCTGTGAACTGAAGTCAGCTCAGGAGTCCTCTCAGAAGCAGGATGCTGCAATTCAAAGCCTCAAGGAAACTCTGAAAAGCAGGGAAAATGAGGTACACATTTGGCAGTCAGGGACCTGTGAGGAAATGATTTGTTCCATCGAAGTAGACACAGATTCTGTATTTTGTAGCAATGGATCGTTAGACTAAGAGAGCTAAGCCTAGAAAAACTGGAGTGTAATCAGCATTGGTGTTTCTACAGTCTGTGCAGGTGAGATCATGGAATTCAGTTTTAGTTCACCAACTAACATGTTTGGTACTCGCTATCTCCTTTTCAGACAGAGGAGCTGTACCAGGTGATTGAAGGTCAAAATGACACAATGGCAAAACTCCGAGAAATGCTGCACCAGAGCCAGCTTGGACAGCTTCACGTAAGTGAGGGCCACGTAGGACACGAGGAGGGACTGCAGAGGAGGAAGTGCCATGTTCGGTCACAGTCTTGATTTTGTTAGTCTTCTCAGCCACTCGGGGCTTGGCCTCCTTGTGGTTATGAATTTTCCTGTCTTTTCAGAACTCCGAGGGTACTTGCCCAGCCCGGCAACAGGTGGCTCTGCTTGACCTACAGACTGCTCTGTTCTGCAGCCAGCTCGAAATACAGAAACTCCAGAGGGTCATACGTCAGAAAGAACGCCAGCTGGAGGATGCCAAGCGATGTGTGCAGTTCGTGGAGGCCACAGCCCGTGAGACAGAACAGCAGAAGGAGGCTTCTTGGAAACATAACCAGGTAAGTCAGTAATCAGTTTGTGGCCAGAAGTGCTTGGCTTTGCCCTGATACTGACTTTTCATCAGGATGGTTTCTGTTGAACCCTTGAGTCATCACTTAATCCAGTTAATTCAGCTCAACGTTTGTTGGCCTCATGCCATGTGCCGGACATCGGGCTGGGCTCTGGAAACACAAGAGTCAGTGTCACAAGCTCTTTCCTGTTACGTTACTTGTGGTTTAGTATAAGGCAGTCACAGAAACAGAATTTTCGTGATGAGGCAGAGGAGGTGTGTGTGGGTCCCAGAGGAAAAATACAAGAGGGGCTGAGGAAGGGAGTCTGGGAAAGCTTTATGAAAGGAGCTCTCTTAGGTTATTCCTGAAGGATGGGGAAAGGTTACCAAGACAGAATAGTGGGAAGCAACAGCCAGGGTCAGAGGAATGGCACGTACAATCAGCCACTTCTTTTTTGTTTTTTTAAATTAATTCTTAAGTGGTTCATTTATCTTGTTAAGTTAGAGCATATGCTGCCAATTTTTTTTTTTTTTTTTTTTTGAGAGAGTTGGGGGGTGGAGAGGAGCAGAGGGAAAGAGAGAATCTTAAGCAGGCTCCATGCTCAGCACAGGGCCTAAATGTGGGGCTTGATCCCATGACCCTGGATTCATGACCTGAGCCAAAATCAATCAAGAGTCAGACACTCAACTGGCTGAACCACCGAGAGCCCCAGTTTGTTTTATTTGTTTTTTGTTTTAGGATATAAAATGATGGTGGAAATACTCTATCCTTGAGCTCATTGTAAAGGATCCAGGTTTACAGCAGGACAGAGTTCTGCTTAGTAGTTATATAGATCTGTCATTTGTAAACTAGAAAGTAAGTCCTGAACTATAATGGTATGTACACCTTGTCTCCATTCACAGTTATGATTTCCCATATCCTATAGTAATTTCAAGAATGGCACTTTTCTGGGGCGCCTAGATGGCTCAGTCGGTTAAGCGTCTGACTTTGGCTCAGGTCATGATCTCATGTTTCACGAGTTCAAGCCCTGCGTCGGGCCCTGTGCTGACAGCTAGCTCAGAGCCTGGAGCCTGCTTCCGATTCTGTGTCTCCCTCCCTCTCTGACCCTCTCCTGCTCATGCTGTCTCTCTCTCTCTCTGTCTGTCTGTCTCTCAGAAATAAATAAACCATTTAAAAACTTCAAATTAAAATAAAAAGAATGGCACTTTTCTGCTACTTTATATTTCTATATCTGTTGGAATTTTTAAGGTCTTCATATCTACTGACCACGTGAAAATTTTAGATTGTTTAAAAGACATTTGTTTCATTCAGGAATTACGAAAAGCCTTGCAGCAGCTCCAAGGAGAATTGCAGAGTAAAGGCCAACAGCTTCGTATCCTGGAGGCTGAAAAATACAATGAGATTAGAACCCACGAGCAGCATATTCAGCACCTAAACCACAGTCTGAGTCACAAGGAGCAACTGCTTCAGGTGAGTCGACACAATGACTTCAACCAAATCTGGGCTCACAGAACTCTGAGGTTTCTGTTCACGTAAAATCTCAAGATGTCCATCTACCTACCTGTGTTCGGTACCTGTTACACATAGAGCATTGAGACCTGGGAACCAGGAGGATTCAAAATAAATAGAAAGTACAGTTCGTAAACCACCAGTGCTAACCAGCAAGTGTAGGAAATAATAAATGTAGACCCAAAAGACAAGCAATCAGTATTCAGCAAATAGTTATCAAACAGCTTTGTGAGCCAGATACTGGTGCTGGGAAGACAGAGAAGATATGACCACTGCTCTCAGGCTAGTAGGTGAAGACATCTGTGTACAAAGTCCTGTTATTTAGATGATAAAATGAAGGTTTTGGGGAAAATGTAGAACATCAAAGTGGACCATGATCAGTTCTACCACCTGCTGTAAGCTGCAGTCCCATTTCCACCCCCTACATTTTGCTCATCATACAGTTTTTTCGTCGTGTGCACATATTGTACATATTTTTTTTTTCTGATAGAAATACCCCCACCTCCTCTTCACTTGGGAAATTCCTAGTCCTTTAAGATTCAGAGCAGATGTAACCCCTTTTGTGAGATCTTTAGTGACACCTTCAGGCAGATGTACATAGTGCATCCTGTGTTCCCCTGTTACTAGGTACACAGACACATATATATACGTTTATACGAATACACACGTATACACATGCATGTGTCTATACACATATATGTGTGATGTGGAATAATTAATGTATATGCCTGTCATCTCTGCTAACCTGTGTTTTCTTTTAGAGTGATTGCATTTTGTTTTTGATCCTAAGTAACAAATTGGTTGGCAAAATGTTGGAATTCGGTACATTATGTACAGATGAATAAAGGAAAATATTTTTTGGTCTCATTAGGAGTTTCGGGAGCTCCTACAGTATCGAGATAAGTCAGACAAAACCCTCGAAGCAAATGAAATGTTGCTTGAGAAGCTTCGGCAACGAGTACAAGATCGAGATGTTGCTCTAGAGGTATGTGCCTTATTTTTGTTTATGTACTATGGATTATTCCATTCACACAGGTACTGTAGGAATACTTCATTTGCTGCTTTCTGAAGTTGGTTTTTCCTTCCTTTATGTTTGGATTTAAAACAAAATTTTTTTTCAACGTTTATTTTTGAGAGACTGAGTTCGAGTAGGGGAGGGGCAGAGAAAGAGGAAGACACAGAATCCAAAGCAGGCTCCAGGCTCTGAGCTGTCAGCACTGAGCCCAGCATGGGGCTCAAACTCACAAACCCCGAGATCATGACCTGAGCCGAAGTTGGACGCTCAACCGACTGAGCCCCCCAGGCGCCCTGTATTTGAATCTTAATGAACGAGTGTGATCACAGTAGTGAATGTGCAGTAGCTTTAGGATCCTTACTTTCCTTGCAGCGGGCCATAGATGAAAAGTTCTCCACTCTAGAAGAAAAAGAAAAAGAACTGCGTCAACTCCATCTCGCCATGCGAGAGCGAGATCATGACTTAGAGAGACTGCGTGGTATTCTCTCCTCTAACGAAGCTACCATGCAGGTAAGAGCACAGTCTGCCATGACTTGGTATCCCTCTCCCACTTGGATTCTAAACCTGAAGCATCAACTCCTTCTGTCATTTTCTGAAAACCAAGGTATTTGCTTCAGAAGACAAAAAATACAGAAACCAAAATGGTGATCATTAGTTCCATCATTATAGATTAGGAAGTGAGAAGTGTTAGTCTGCCATGAACTCTACAGGAGGAAGCAGTGAATATAGATTTCTAGACATAACTTCTTTTTTTTTTAATTTTTAACTTATTTATTTTTGAGAGAGAGACAGTGCAGAGCCCCATTTAGGGCTCAAACTCACAAACCGTGATATCATGATCTGAGCTGAAGTCGGACCCTTAATCAACTGAGCCATCCAGGCACCCCAACTAGACGTACTTCTGATGTATTTATAATTCTTGTCGATATTGGTAAGCTTTTTACATAAGCATTGCCAGGGTACAACTGTTACACTGTTGTTTTCTCACTAATGTTATATCCATGTCCTTCTATAGTCACAGTCAGAACACTTATTAATATTTCCTGTGGGCTACTCTTGTGTATGTATTTTCGAGTTTACACATTTAACCATCTGCCACTTCTTAAAGAAGTCTGTCACTTCCTCTGTAGCATAGCCTGCTTCCTCAAAACTACTTCATTTATCATACGTGTTGTATTTATTTCTCTACAAATTAGATGAGAGTTTCTAAAACAAAATAAAAAAAAGATTAGTATGGCATTGTTTGATTAGATATTAAGTTTTCTCCTTTTGCAAAAAAATGATAATTTTGGAGATATTTCAAGGTGGATCAAGTTTCTTGCCTTTCCTGAGGAGTGTGGGCTGGCCCTTTGACTTACAGCTGCTTTCTTTTTTCCTGCAGAGCATGGAGAGTCTCCTGAGGGCCAAAGGCCTGGAAGTAGAACACTTATCTGCTACCTGTCAGGACCTCCAGTGGCTGAAAGAAGAATTGGAAACCAAATTCAGCCATTGGCAGAAGGAACAAGAAAGTATCATTCAGCAGTTACAGACATCTCTGCATGACAGGAACAAAGAAGTGGAGGCAAGACTTTAGTTCCTTACCGGCAGTTGGCTTAGTGATTGCATAATCTCAGTCTTGGATTAGGACCCTTGAGGTCTGGGAGGCCAATGACCCAAGTGTCGAATTCCATTCTGTGCCTGGGCAAGTCCTTGGCTTTCCCTGGGACCTTTTTTCCTACACCCATAAACTCAGGGTGACAATTATCTTTCTCAAATAAGTCATGTGAGAATTAATGAGAACTGAATCGTGCACCTTTGATGTGAGACCTGACCTTTATTAGTTATGGTGCCAGGCTTGTTAGGCACGGTTTTAATTGCTTAATGGATGCTAACTCATTGAATCCTTACATGTCTATGAGTTCTATATTATTATCCCTCTTTTATAGACAAGGAAACAGACTTCTGAGATGAAGACACTTATCCAAAGTAACAGAGTTAGTAAGCGGCAGAGCCAGGAAGCAGCCCAGGCAGTTTGGCCCACAGTTGTAACCACCACGTGCTCCCTCTCAGTATAGAAGGAGGAACTCTGTCACCACGCTAGCATAGTGCTTGTTATTCTTTCTTAGCCTGTCGTTTTGTGTTTCCCCCATAAAAGTTATACTGGGGAGAAATAAACAAAATGGACTGAGTGTCCATTTATCTTCCTCTAGTTTTAATTATCATGGACCCTGAGCAAATAGGGAAAGAGCTTCAGAAAATAATACATAAGTTGCCGTTACAGGTATTTTTGTGAATTGTTGGTGTTCATTCACCAAGCACATATTTCTGTGGGCCAGGCGTGTGCTGGACCTGGGAAAACAAAAGTGAATAAAACATGATTCTTGCTCTCCAGAATCCCACAGCTCTTTCTTCTATAATAGATCCTTAAAGAATAAACCCTTTGATACGTAGTAGAGGGCATCCTCTCCTCCAAAACTTACGGCATCCCTTCTGTGTTAGGACCTGAGCGCGACGTTGCTCTGCAAACTCGGGCCGGGACAGAGTGAGGTCGCCGAGGAGCTGTGCCAGCGCCTACAGAGAAAGGAAAGGCTGCTGCAGGAACTTCTCAGTGATCGAAACAAACAAGCCGTGGAACATGAACTAGAGATTCAAGGCCTGCTTCAGTCCATGAGCACCAGGGAGCGGGAGAGCCAAGTAAGGACTGATGCACGGATCAGAACGCTATTGGTGCATTTACAGCCTGTGAATAGGGTTCTTTGGAACATCACCGTGTGTGTGTGTGTGTGTGTGTGTGTGTGTGTGTGTGTGTGTGTGTGAGAGAGAGAGAGAGAGAGAGAGAGAGAGAGAGAGAGAGAGATTTTACAGTCCATTCTGTGAGGATTTTTTCCTCCAGTCTGTTAGACTATAGTTTTACATCAGTCACCAAAGCATGCAATATTTTTAGAGCACTTCACATTTAGATGGGTGCCTAAACAGCACACATACCCACTCACCCATTCTCTTTTTCTTGATATTCTGCTAATTTCACAGGAGGGAATATGGGGTTCTGGAGTGTTTTGGTTTCGAGTCTAAAATATCCAAACCTGATGATATTTTGGGGGCGCCTGGGTGGCTCAGCTGGTTGAGTGTCTGACTCTTGATTTTAGCTCAGGTCATGATCCCAGGGTCATAGAATCAAGCTCTGCACTGAGCATGGAGCCTGCTTAAGACTGACTGTCTGTCTCTCTGTCTGTCTCTGTCTCTCTCTCTCTCTCTCTCTCTACCCCTCTCGCACACACTCTCTCTCTAATCAAACAAACAAAAAAACCTTTAAGAAAACATTTCAGTGATATTTTCTATTTCCAGCCAAGGTATGGCAAAACTTACATTTTACATATTTTTTTCTTAATTCTCATAAAAACTGAAATCTCTTAAGAGGAAACCAGACTGTTTTTTTTCCAAAGGCCTTGATGAGAAGAAATAATCTTATGATATTATGGAATAGTTAATCTTCAGGTACTGGTACATGAGTATTTCAGAAGGCAATTCTTAATTTATCCTCATTCACAGATCTCTTTCTCCTCAAGGCTTGAGATGTGAACTGCATTTTAGGGACCAGTCACTCAGAATTCCCTCCAGCCAGTTTTAGGGGGCACCAGATTCTTATCATTTGACCATAATATTTTCTAATGTTTCCTCATGTCTTGGAGAGTTCTTTTTCTCTCATCTATTTCTCAAACCCCCTGAAGTGAATATACATTTCCTTCCTATTAAATAAGCTGCAGAAATTGCTTCTAGAGTAGACCTAACAGAGTCACTGTGAATTCTTTAAGTCTTTGGCAGGAGGCTAACAAAAGTCTCTTTTTTAACCCTTTTGTAATTTGAAAGAATTAGTTTATTACACCTCAGAAATACTGTACTCTACTGAGAGTAAAATGATGGAAGCTAGGACATAACTGTGAAATTATAAAAGATCACTTTAACTCCAGAAAAAGAGAAATGGTTGTATTTTCCTAGATCTGCTTCTTAAATTTTACATGCAGGAGAAGTCCTCTGGGGAGCTTTTTAGAAGCGTAGATTCCCAGGCTTGCTCCCAGGGACAGGGGCCAGGAGGGATGGGGAGGGCTTAAGAGCTTGCACAGATGACAGTGATGCTGCTGGTCCATGGGCCACGCTTGGAGGACCAGGGCTAAAAACAACACTACTAGAAAAAGAATTCCAAGCCACGTAGATCATATATATGACCCAAGAGATCTTGAATGTTATTTATTGTTTCTTTCCCATAACAATTTGCATAGATGTTTATTAATGTGAATGAATAATGTGCTGTTAACTTCTAGATGGTTATGTCCAAATCCCTGAAGGGCCCAAATCTTACTAAACATGTAAAGTTATTCTTTTATTTCCCTTAGAAATTATGACAAACGCTCCGCTTCTCCTTTGAAACAGTAGTTATTGTTCCAGAAGCAGTTGGTGCCAAGATAGCTAATAGAGTTTTGATTCATCAGCTTATAGCCCCCAGTAATTTTAGTCTTGGTTTATTATTTCCACATTTTCTGATTAAATGCAGACTTTTAATGTGGTAAAGGTCACAAATAATGTTCTAGATCTTTTTCCTTAATGTGCGTAATTTGTCTTAGAAAACTGGGATTTGAAATTAAACCTGGGGTTGGTGGTTTTGAGGTTCAGATTCTCTGGATTGTATGATCTGATAAAAGTGTCTCCACGTAATTGATTCATTCAGTAAATACGTGTTGAGTGCCTGCTATCTGCCGGACACTGTTCTGGGTGCTTGTGACTCAGCGCTGAAGAAAACCTAGACCCTGCCCTGAGGAAACATGCATCCAGTTGGGAGAGAGACAATAAACAGATACATCAGATAACGGCAGTGTATTCTAAAAAACTTAGCAGGACAGGGAGAATCGTGAGTAGAGAAAAGCTCACTGTTTTATTTATTTATTTTTTAATGTTTTATTTATTTCTAGGAGAGAGAGAGACAGCGTGAACAGGGGAGGGTCAGAGAGCAAGGGAGTCACAGACTGAAACAGGCTTCAGGCTCTGAGCTGGCAGTCAGCACAGAGCCCGACGCGGGGCCCGAACCCACGAACCGCGAGATCATGACCTAAGCGAAAGTCGGACGCTTAACCGACTAAGCCACCCAGGCGCCCCAAAAGCTCACTGTTTTAGATAGAATATGCAAAGGAGGTCAGTACGTTAAGGGAGCATTAGGCAAAGATGTGAGGGGAGCAAACCAAACAAACGTTTGGGTAAAGGCCATCCAGGCCGAGGGCATATGTGGAGCCCCTTGAAATAGTCCCCTTGCTTTCAGTTACAGCCTGTGTGTAACAGAGGACTTAAAATTCAGGCTGTAAACTGAAAGCAAGGAGACTATTTCAAGGGGCTCCACTGGCTTTTCATAAATAATTGACTTTTAACAAATAACATCAGAAGGTGAATTTTGTTTTGTAGAGTATCCGTCTAATGTTCTGTGTGATTTCCTTACAGGCCTCTGCAGAGAAGATGGTACAAGCCCTAATGGAAAGAAATTCAGAATTGCAGGCCCTGCGCCATTATTTAGGAGGGAAAGACTTCATGGCGTCCCAAGCACTGATCTTGAACCAACCCACTGAAGTTACCTCCAGCAGTCCCCATCTTGGAGATCAGACTGATCAAGTAAGAGCTATGGACTCGTGTAGATGTTCGTGACCTTTTCTTTTTGTGTGCAAGGCATACGTTTGATCATCTTAATACCATTCCAAGTCCTTGTCGTTGTGATCATGGTTCCCACACTTTCCTAAATCCCCTGACTCTTCCCATTTGTAGGGTTCTGTGCATATACCCTCCAAGGATGATAGCATTTCATTGACTGCCAAAGGGGATGCCAGTATAGCCAGGTCCTCATTGGGTAAGTATCAAATGTAATTTCACTAAGGAACCTTCTGTCTTTTCTTCCTGTAACTCTGTTAATAAGTGTGGCAAAGACACTCTTTCTCTTTCTACCTTAATGGAAAAAAATAAGTAGATTTCCCTAAAAGGCTATTTAGGAAAAACTGACCTGACCTTATGTCGAATTAAGACAGTTGTTCTAGGTACACAGTTCGACTCCAGGGAAGCTGCCTCCTGATTGTCCTTTTCAGATAGTTTTGCAGGGATTCAGAAATGTAGCAGGTAGTGTTTCCAAACCTACACAGCAAGACCATGGGGCTGACACATTCCAGATGTCTTTCAAGCAGACTGAGTCTACACACTGTAACTTGGCATAACTTGTTCTGCAGTGCAGAGCGAGCGTGGGGGGCAATGTGCTTTAAGCTATTGTCAAAGACCACAGCCATCTAAGTAAGAGACTGGTAGGCCTTGAACTCCCCCCAAACAGCTGAATTCTGTGCAGAGTAGGAACAAAACATAATGAGTGCTTGGGATTCGAGTCTCTGACTTTCACGGAGTAAACGGCCAGGATCAATAGTAACTTCAAGGAAGATATTTACCCAGTGATTTCTAGAAATAGGGGCTTACCATCACTCATGAAGTGGTGATTATAGTGCCATAATGCGAAAGGTTGTGGACTTGAATAATTAACTTACAGTTTTTAAATGATATTAAGAATGTAAAAGCTTTGTGTCTGTGTTACAGTGTTAAGTATTATGGGATTCCGTAGATAGTCATGCAAGTGGTTATTTTTTAGTAGGAGAACTTTATGTTAGTCAAAGAGTAATGGATGCTGGATTTGTTAATTCCCTATTTACCTTTTTTCCAAAAGTACCTTCCCACAACTTTTTATTTTGCAAATTTCAAACTTACAGAAAGGTGGCACAAATAATGCGTAGACAGTTAATACGATTCACCGCCTGTTAACATTTTACCACCTTTGCATACTTTCTTTACATGCATACACACAGATATATTGTTATTTCTAAGCCATTTAAAAATTAGGTATCCTGACACTTCACTTCTAAATACTTCATTGTGTATCTCCTAGCAGCAGGGGCATATTCTCCTGCTTCAGTATGAGTATTACACTCAGGAAATTCAACCTTACTGTAGTCCTGGCACCTAACGTACGGTTCATATTCACAGTTCCCGTTGTCACCATAATGTCCTCGATGGCCGGGTTTCTTCCTCCAGGATCTGGCATCACATTTACTTGTAATGTCCCTGTAGTCTCCTTTAATCTGGAACAGCTTTCTAGTCTTTTTTGTCTGTTTTGACATAGGCATTTTTGAAAACTCTGGGTCAGCTCATGGCCCTCAGTTTGGCTCTGATTACTTATTTCCTCGTGGTTAGATTCAAGTTAAACATTTTTGGCAAGAATGCTTCCAGGGTGATGTCTTTCTCAGTGCATCACGTCAGGAGCACGTGATAGCAGTTGGTATTCTCCTTGGTCAAGGCTGTATCTGCCGGAGAGATCCGTGAAGACTCATTTCTCCCACTGTGTGAGGGGTCTGCCAGACTAGCGCCTGGAGGTGTTGACGGTCCGTTTCCCCACAGTCCTTCCCGGGGGGCGGGTCACATCTTTCTGCCGTGCCTGAACCAACAATTCTATTGCGTTGGTAGTTTAAAAATGTGATTTCTGGGGCACCTTGGTGGCTCAGTCAGTTGAGCATCCTACTTCAGCTCAGGTCATGATCTCACGGTTTATGGGTTCGAGCCCCGTGTTGGGCTGTGCTGACAGCTCAGAGCCTGGAGCCTGCTTTGGATTCTGTGTCTCCCTCTTTCTCTGCCCCTCCCCTGCTTGTGCTATGTCTCTGTCTCTCTCTCCAAAACAAACAAAAAATAATAATAAGGTGATTTCCATTTCTAAAATTTCTTCCTTTGAAAATCCGTATTCCTTTGAAAATCAGTATTCTCCCCATTCCGTTTTTTGTACCAATGTGTTCTACTAAATTCTGTTTTTAAAAATACATGTTATTATCTGTTTCTGTTATTATTCCATTTGGTGCCCAAATTATCCCAGATTTGGCCAATTGGAGCCCCTTCTAGCTGCTCCTCTGTTCTTTTTGATATTTGCCTGTCAGTTTCTCAGCACTTCTACACTTTGTGGCACAAGATGTTCTGCGATCACCTTTTATTCTCCCTGCCTCAGCCCTGGAATTACCCATTCCCTCAAGGGGCTCTGCTTCCTTTAAGTGGATAATGGCACGTAGATACTAATCTCTTGGCACAAGATAGGTTCATAGCTACAGGTACGTCATTTGCTTCTAGGCCCTTTTACATGAACAGGGGTGTGTGTGTGTGTGTGTGTGTGTGTGTGTGTGTGTTTGATACTGATTTCTCTAATTCTAATTGAACAACACAGGTTCTTTCTTTGGCTTATTTTGTGTTTGTATCTGCCTTTTTTTTTTCTTTTTTTTTTTTTGACATTGAAAAACCTGCTTACCTATAACATCAATATACTCACATATTGGCACAATGCACAAAACTGGTTTCATGATTGCTATGCGAATATAGCTATCAACAAAAAACTCATTAAATAGTGTTTAAGGTTTCTTTTTATTTACTTGTTTAACCCTTAGACTCTTTCCTGCCGAGGATATATAGTTAGAATACTGAGTTCAAAAAATTATTTGGATTAATTTTTGTTTTTCTGGGTGCTTGTTTTATCTATTTGTTATACAGGTTCATTTATGTTAATATTCAGTTTTAGGCTTTTTCCTCCCTGTTATTATTGAACTAACTTTACACATTAAAAATATAAAACATTAGCATGATTCAAAACTCAAATATATAGAAAAGTGCACTCAGAAGCCCCATCAACTTCCCTAACATTCCTCTCTTGTTTTCACCCCTCCCTTGAAGGCAACCAATTTCATTTCTGGGTTATCCTTCCCTAAGTTTCTTTTTGCAAAGTAAGAGAGCAGTCCTGTGTCTCTGTGTGATGCGTGTGTGTTCTTGTTGTCCTCTTTCCTAATATAAAACATAGTACACTAGGTGTATTCTTTTGTACCCACCTTGTTTTACTTAATAGTGTATCTTAGAAATTAGTCCATGCCTGTTCATAAAGATTTTCCTCATTCTTTTTACGGTTGATTATAGTACTTCATGGCATGGGCATACCGTGGTTTATTCAGTCTTCTGTAGACGGATTGCAGTATTTTGCTATTACAATTAATGCCGCAAAGAACAACCTGTCCATAGAGCCGTTGTTATTGTTGTTGTTAGATTGTGTATTCAGAGTCAGTTCCCCAGAAGGAAGGTAGCAGAAGCCCTGTGAATTACAGTGATTGACACTAGTGCTGTGTGTTCACTGCCAGGAGACTTGGATGCCATGACCGGGCTGGAGAAGGAGCTGGGTACTGCCAAGGAAGAGCTCGAGCTCATGGCTAAAAAGGAAAGAGAAAGCCGGGTGAGTTTTCTCAGGGAGTCTCATTTCTAAATCCCTTTTCTTTTCTTTCAGGATAGTTTCTATTTAAAAAACTACAGTTGTCCAAGTAAATATACTAGCTAGGTCCTAAAGCAAAGTAAGACTTTTCTTTCAGGAGAAAACCAGAAATCGCTTTATATACATATTTTCTCAAAACATGCTCTTATTTTTATACATGGAGACCATTAAACTTTTAAGTGCTGAAGAGACAAAGACTGCTCTCTCTGCCCGTCGCTAACTAGAATCATTGTAAAGAACTTGTGAAAAAGTGAAATACTGTATAAGTGCTGCTTGGAATTGTGACGTTAGATCCGCAAAATTAGTTTTAAAAATATGGAACAAAAGACTTTGGGGAATGGTCGATAATGTTTATTGACTACTTGCTGTATGCAGTGCACTGTACGGGTACGTAAATTAGCACTAATGCTTATGACTCTGCAAACTGAGTGGTATTGACCCTATTCTATAGATGAAGAAGATGAAACACTGATTTTTTCTTTTTAAACATAGAGTTGGGAAAGTGTCCTGTAACTAGTAAGACATCCTGAAGGTAAGATTTAAATTGAGGTCTTTTGTGACTCAAAATACTTGCTAAGAAGTCATGACTTGGAGCAGATAATCTTCCCAATCTTGGGCCCTACTTCTAGCAATGGAGTTTTCATGAATTTTCTTAGAAGAGGCCGCCCAGCCTTACAGGAGAATCCCTTCTCTCTCTGCCGCCCCGTACAGCTGGCTGTATGTCCAGCTGGGAAAGAAATACCAGGGCCACGGTATAGAGGTACCAGCTAACACTGAAAGCATCTATTTCAGAGGGGCAGCAGTGTCATGGGCTCCTAAATTAAGCTTACCTGGCTAGTCAACATCAGGAATATTCCACCTCTTTGCCAGAGTTAGGTCTAAAATATAAAACCTGTATTCGCGTTTGTGGTTATCTTATTGTACTTCCTCATTTCTCCTCTTGTAACTATATTTCTCCTTATAACCAGACTACTGTTATGTGACTCTAGTTTTGAGGATATGAAATTGTATGACATTTTAAAAATACCAGTTTTCAAAATCCCCTGGTTTCCCTCCCAGTTTTTTTTTTTTTTTTTTTCCTTTTTTTGGTTCTACTGTAGCCATTATCTGATTATTCACATCAGGTATTTCAGTTCAGTTTCCACATGCTATTCCTGTTTTTCCCACATATACTCATTTCAGTGCAACGTTGCTTTTTGGTTCTGTACTTTTTGGATATGTACCAAAAGCCATGTCGATTTTCTCAAATTTTTAAACATCCGCCCTCCCCCCACTGTCTTGAAATAATAGTAGCAGTGGTAGCAATAATTAACATTCACTGATTGCCTGCCACACACTTTTAAATCCATTTTCTCTATTCTCATATGGCCCTGAAAAATAGATATTTTTTCCATTTTTACAATTGAGGGAATTGAAGCTCAGTTTAAATGCCTTCTAGGAAGATTCTGCCAAGAGTTAAAGCCCATGTGTGCCTCACTGCAGACCTTTATTATGCTGCAGTAGTGTAGCTTCCTTGTGATTGAATTTCTCTTCTATGGAGCACATACCCATCTATATAATGATAGGGGCCTATGAAGAGGGCCCTCCTTTTTCATACCCAAGATCTGCTCAAACTGAGAAATAAAGTAGTGGCAGAGCATTTTTATTTTACCAACTGCATTACGGACACAGGCGCAGGTAGAGAACTTAATGCAAGAACCAAGAGGCCTGCTAGCCAACTCCCAGAACGGGGTAGACCTCTGTCTACCTAAGTCCCACACACAGCAGGCCTGCCCTTGGAGAAACAGTGGCAAAAACGGGCTTCTTGCAGCCAGTGCTTCCCCAAAAGAACGATGTAGCCAAGTCAGGCATGCATGGCTTATTCTTCCCCAGTATGCCATTCAGGTAAGTCCCTTCGCCTACCTGGGGCTGAGTTAAGGAGTGGAGACAAGTCAGGAGTTACACTAACCGAGGTCCTTCCTCATGCAGGGAAATGTGAGAAGTATTTCTTCCCAACATGCACAGTAGCCCAGGATATCAAATAACTGTGTAGTTACAAATGATGAGCCCACATAGTGAACTGTCTGTGTTGATGGAATTAGAAGTAAGGTCTTTATTGCACACAGCTCACGTTTTATATATTAAAGAGGCACTGCTTCCTTTAGGAAGCTTGACTATGCCTTAAACTCACTGGGGGGCATCTGTCTTCGTGTGTCACACCTATTTTCTTTTTTTTTTTCTTTCTTTAAGGCTTTATTTTTAAGTAACCTCCACACCCAATGTGGGACTTGAACTTACAACCCCCAGATCGAGAGTCACATGCTCTACTTGCTGAGCCAGTCAGGCTCCCTTATACCTCTGTTCTTTACATCGCAATATCATTCCTTAAAATGTTTACTTAACAAATCACTTGCCATCTCCACGAAGGATGTGTGGGTGTAATCAAAGGCATTACAGCCTTGTGTGCGGAGTCTGCTTCCCTGAGGTCACTTCCTGGCTCCATGAGACTTGGACCAGGTTCCTTAATTTCTCTCAGCCTCAGTCGCCTCATATTTAAATTGGGGAAGAGAAGACCAGTTTATTCTGGAGGGCTGTTGGGAGGATTCACTCACCTGTTATTTTTTTAAGTGACGTAATAAACTCCTTAGTTAAACAAATTTGATGCTTTATCTGCTAAGTAAAGTGGAGGACATCATTGAACCTGCCATCACCGCGTCCCATAAAACACGCCTTCGCACCACACTCTGGTGTATTGATCGACCAGCAGAGGACTCTTCATCTTCTAGTTTTTACCCGCATTCCTGGCTGATAGTGATTTCATACAGAAAACCTTGGTGTTAAAATGTAAATGCGACAGTTCTGGTCCCCCCTGACACTCACTGCAGGATTCTTTCTCTCCGCAGATGGAACTTTCTGCACTACAGTCCATGGTGGCCGCGCAAGAGGAAGAGCTGCAGGTGCAGGCCGCCGACCTGGAGTCCCTGACCAGGAACATACAGATCAAAGAAGACCTCATAAAGGTCTTTCAAAGCTTTTTAAATGACTACAGCTCAGAACATGTAGGGCACCTTCAGACCTTTGGATACTTTGAGTCCCCGGCCAGTGCTTACTTCCTTTGTGCACTGTTAGTTTGAGTCTCTTAGATGTTACCGTGTTCTCTTTGACTTCGTTAGAGTGGCTGAGATCTCATAACGAATGTATTGGTACTTTCGTGTGTCTTACCGGTATTCCGCTTGAAAGCAGAGCAGACTATTTCAGGGACATTGGCTCCTTGGCTTCTCTGCTAAATAGCATTCTTATTACTAGCTTGTTTTTCTTTTTGTTTGTGTTTTGTTTTGTTTACTTTTAGGACCTGCAAATGCAACTGGTTGATCCTGAAGACATACCAGCTATGGAACGCCTGACCCAGGAAGTCTTACTACTTCGGGAAAAAGTCACTGCAGTAGAATCACGGGGTCAGGAAACTTCAGGAAATCGAAGACAACAAGTAAGCTATTGGAATATAAACCTTGATGGATGTTGACGTTGATGGAATTTCATAGAGAATCTGTGCTCTAAAGTTTCCTGTGTTGGTCAGTAGCAGCGACAGAGGCCCTGACATTTGTAGTTCCTTTGTAGCTACCGCCCCACATCTGACCTTTCTTCTGTGCCAGACTTTTTGAAAAGACCTACTTGCCTGTACTCCCTGCCTCTGTTATCATCTCTTTCACTAACGACTCATTTCACTCCAGTCCTAGCTTTTAGCTGGAGCAGTTCACCTGCACAGACCTCTGCTGGTCATACACTATCTTCTGTACAGCACTTTCCGTAGCTCACTGTGACACCTGTCTGTGACTGTTGGTGTCTCCTCCACCTACCAGGTAGTAAGCTTATCCCTAGAGCAGAGCCAGGCACGTAGAAGGTGCTCTATAAATATTTATTGAATGAATAAAAAATACCAGTAACTCCTACTGTGTGTCTCCTCCTAACCCTCCCTCTCTTTTCCTTCTACTTTCTTCTCTTAGCCTCTTCCCTGTGCTTCTGGCTTCTGTCTCTTTCCTCTTTTATCTCCCACGTTTGAAATCTGCCCTATAGAGTTTTAAAGATTAAAAATAGACAATGGACATTGACATGAAAGCTGTAAAATACAATAGAAAGTTTAAGTACGTAGTTGGTGAGTTTTATTGGTCACAGTGCATGCTCGTACATTGTTTTCGATGCTCTCTCAAGATCCACTGTGGGTTTGTGTCTCCTGTCTCCATCTGCATATTCCTTCTTTTACTCAGTTGCTGCTGATGCTCGAAGGGCTGGTAGATGAACGGAGTCGGCTCAATGAGGCTTTGCAGGCAGAGAGACAACTCTATAGCAGTCTGGTGAAGTTCCACGCGCATCCAGAGAGGTAAGAGAGTTATGGCAATATTTATCCTTCTGTTCGACTTTAGGCGCAGATGCCTGTGATCTCGAAGCAGGAAGAAAAAGAAGCAAAGACATACTAGCACTACTCAATTTGTCATTTGTCATGTGGATGGCTCTGAGCCTGGTGTTTAAGTCTCAAGTCAGGAATAGTCCCTATTTCATATAGCTACACAGTGATCAAATGAGAAGACTTGTCAGACGTCTAAACTAATGCCTTGCATATAGTAAACATTCAATTCCTTTCCTTCCTCTGCTCCATGTCCTGGTAAGGGCTGTTCTAGTCCAAGTGTAAGAATATAAAGGGTATTGATACTCACTAGGTATCATGGAAGAAAATATATTTGCCGTGATGGCCAGTATCAACCCAGGATTACTGTTAGCCATCATGATGAATATGTTTGCTTATACCTCTTGATTTTTGGTCATGTATATTACAGCATTCTGGTTCATTTTCTATTCCCATAATTTTTTTTCTCATTTTGCCTTTGCTCCTCACCCTTTTGTCTTTCCTAATTTTTTTTTCTTTTACTGTTCCGTTTCTTCTAGTTTTGTGTTCAATTTAAGCATTTTTTTCTTTCTACTTAAAGAAAATGAAAGCAGAAGAGAGGTATATAGGACAATGATTGTATTACTTTTTTTAATTCTTTTTTTAATGTTTATTTTTGAGAGAGAGAGAGAGAGTCTTTAATAACAGTCCTAGTTGGCTCAGTATTGCTTCAATTTGCATTAAGTTTTTCCTAGGTTTTGTTTTTTCAGAAACTAATACTCTTAGTCAAAAAGTGAAATTTCTTGGGGCACCTGGGCGGCTCAAGTCAGTTAAGCATCCGACTTCAGCTCAGGTCATGATCTCACAGTTCAGGAGTTTGAGTCCCACATCAGGCTCTGTCCTGACAGCTCAGAGCCTGGAGCCTAATTCGGATTCTGTGTCTCCGTTTCTCTGCCCCACCCCCACTCGCCCTCTGTCTCTCTCTCTCTCTCTCTCTCTCTAAAATAAACATTCTAAAAAAAATTTTTTAAAGAGTGAAATTTCTTATTTTGGCTCTAGAGGTGTGAGCTAAGTCTTAGGAGCTATGGTTTTATGTGACATTGGCCCAGAATCTAACACAAAGGGGCAAGCTTTAATGAAAGGGGCAGGCCCTGCTAATGTGTCAGCAGTGAACAGTAGCAGTACCAAAACAAAGACTGTGTTCATTTGCCGTGTCTCGGACAGAGTCCTTTAGAAAGCCTCGTGACCCTTTGGAAGCACATGTAGACCCATTACAGTTGATGGCTAATCGATTTTCCTTCCGTGTGGCATGTTTACTCAGCTCTGAGAGAGACCGCACTCTGCAGGTGGAACTAGAAGGGGTCCAGGTGATACGTGGTCGGCTAGAAGAAGTTCTTGGAAGAAGCCTGGAGCGCTTAAGCAGGCTGGAGACCCTGGCCGCCATTGGAGGTGGGGAACTGGAAAGTGTGCGAGGTCGTCACAAGCATGCCTTCTGAGCACTGGCGGGTCAGGCTGCAGCCCAGGATGGAGAGCCTTGTTTGCACTAACCCCAGAGCCTTGTCTGCCTCTGGTAGAGTTCAGTGGTGACTTGCTAATGATAGAACTGCCACAAGGAGCATCCGCTACCCAGTGAAGCTCACTGTAGTGTCCCTGTTTGGCGCTGTACAGACCTATCTCTGAATGGAATGGTAGAGGTTACAAATTGAATGCACACCTTTCAGATCATTCCATTTCAGTTTTCCCACCCATATTCACTCTTTCCCCCAGCCCCTCCTCATTCCCTCTTCACTCTCCGTGGGCCAATAAAGTTTATTCCTCCCCTGCTATCACCGCCCATTTCATATGTACCATATCCTGTCATAAATGCATGCATGTGTATTTTTGCCATTATTCAACTCCTGCTCTTTGAGTGAGAGAATTTTTCTAATCAAATAAAAGTTTCAAGATGAAAGAGAGAGAGATTAAATGTCCATAAGAATCACTTTGCAAAAGTGGCATAACCCTTAGCGGAAGGTGATCACAACGAGTCTGGCCGTAGCAGACTGCAAGTATTAAAAGGGTGAGGTGAGGCGAAAAGCAGAGGCGAAGGTCATTCACGTGCTTACGGTAAACCTTTTCCTCTGATACTGTCTCAGAGTTGATATTGAATCATATTGATAGTGAAATTAGATTCAGTGCAGATGAAGTTCCATTGGTGTTTTTCTTTAACAAGGGTGTACTATTTAGTCAGAACATTGCTTCAGTGAGAACGCTTCCCATGTCTTTCAGTCACGATTCTTTGTGTAAAAAGATAATATCAAATGTACTGCCCCCTCTAAATTCAGCATCTCACTAAATAGCTCATTGCAGCAAGAGGAAAGCATGGCTTATGTTTTTTCCATTTGGTAGTGGTGCTAGGTGGAACCCTAGGTTTTTCATGTTCTAGTGCTTCTCCTTTACTCCATATTAAAATAAGTAATAGGCTTTGGAGTGTTTGAATGGTTTAGGGGGAAAAAAGTCACAGGTTTTGGTCACCGCCTCAGTGCTTTCTTATGGTAGCAGGAGACGCGTAAGGAAAGGGACCCCACACATTGTCCTTCTACTATCTTAAATGTCAGGAGTATAAATAACCAGGATTACTTTGGAACTTTGTAGGTTCAGCACCCTGAGGTTTCATATTTCTGCCGGTTGGAAGTTTCCTGGATTAGAAGTTGAGATTTCCATTTTTAAACACGGAATTTGGGGAACAGGGAAGGAGGCGATCCAGCATCACAAACGTAACTGAGTCTTCCTCAGCTAGGGGGCGCACAGTGATTTTTCTGTTTTCCCTCCAGTTTTTACAGGACACTTGTATTTCTTTCACATTCCTGTGTTGACATGGGTTGCCCTGCATTCTGAGTTCTGTCCAACTTTGTAACCTTAGCCATGCCTATAACAACAGATAGAACATCAGTCCAACCAAAGTGGACCGGGAAGAAAATGTTCCCCTGGAGAAACACCCTGAGATTTTCTGATTAAGTATTTTGCAAAAGATTGACGGCCATAAGCCTTCCTCTTAATGGAAATGCTTTTCAGTTTTAATGGCTGTTGGGGTGAACGGTCATTTAAGGAAGGAGATAGGAAGTGTCAGAAGAACCACCCATTTCTTAGTCTTCCAATCTTTAGGGACCCCTTCCTGCTTTTTGTAGTTTTCTAGAAGTAACATGGGGGTAGTTGAACTTAAAGAAACTTCAACCACCAAAGACTAGTCTGTCATATGATTATGAGGCATCTAGGAAGTGTTTTTTTCTTTTTAAATTTTGTTTTTTGTTTTCATTTATTTTTGAGACAGAGAGAGACATCATGTGCGGGGGAGGGACAGAGAGAGAGGGAGACACAGAATCTGAAACAGGCACCAGGCTCTGAGCTGTCAGCACAGAACCCAGTGCGGGTCTCGAACTCATGAACCGCGAGATCATGACCTGAGCCAAAGTTGGACACTTAACCGACTGAGCCACCCAGGCATCCCAGAAGTTATTTTTTTCTTAATTTTGCTAACAGACCAAGGAAGCTTTTAGATGTCCTTCCTGTTAAGATTCAAACATGAGTGACTTTTTTGGGTTCTGGTGGCTCATAGTGATTACAATAATTTCTGATAATTTCTACCCCTGCTTCTATCATCCTCCAAGAGTAGAAATTTCCTTTAGTATCCCGAACTGTTACTAAATGTTAGAAATATTAACGTAGCTGGATGAATAATGAGAAACCCAACTTCCTATTGAAAAATTACCCTAATAAATTAGGGAGGAAAAAGTAAGTGAATTCTGGTCCTGATTTCGGTTCCAAAGAGACAGACTATTGCTATAATTACTCACCTTTAATATTGGTCTGTAGAGAACATTTTGGAAAATTAAGTGATTTTGTTGGAAAGGATAAATTAAGAGATTGATTCTGATACCATAGCTGTGGCTAAAATCTAATGTCCTGGAATGAGGCTCGCAAACAGTACTGCCTACAGAGGGCTTGCTAGTCTAACAATTTGTGTGATAATTTGGCATCTTATTAGAGAACTCGACTCTGATGAATTTTGTTCTATAACCACAGACAGAGGATGCTGTGATTGGCCGCACCATTCATATTATTTTATTAAGTGTGATATAAAATGATTTCCATTCTCTCTTCAAGAGTACAGACCCTTTATCTTACTGGGTTATTCTGCCTTTGTCAGACATTTTCAACATTACAATAATTAAAATTTTTGTTTTGTTCATTTTATTTTTTTTTTTGAGAGAGAATATATGAGCAGGGAAGAGGGGAAGAGAGAGAGAGAGAGAGAGAGAGAGAGAAATCTTAAGCAGGCTTCATGCTCAGCACAGAGCCCAATGCAGGGCTTAACCTCACAGCCATGAGATTAGGACTTGAGCCAAAATTAAGAGTCAGAAGCTTAACTGACTGAGTCACCCAGGTGCCCCAACATTATAATAATTTTAGATAAAAACATCATGTGCTTGTAGAACCTGGTGATTCAATTAAAAAAATAAAAAGATCTTGAGAGAAAATGGATGAATTATGTCCAGGCCGTGCTTAATTGGAAGCACACGACTTAAATTGAGTACAATCCATATGGATAGATTTGGTTTTTCTTACAGTTTCATTTTTGAATAATAGATATGCAAAGTCAGGATGGTAAGAGGTCAGGGTGGATGAAGCCTATAATTTTTAGAGCTGTAGAGCTGCAAAGGGCCTCCGGGATTGAGGACCCTTTTGATAGATACTTCCCTTAAATTCTTTTCTCTTGCAGGTTTGTATTGTTGAAGTCTGTTGACTATTAATGCCTCGTAGAAATCAACATTTTTCTGGTGTTTTCTTCTTAGCTGTTCAGCCAAGTGATTTTTCTGAAAAGGCACGACCGGACCATTTTAATATTGTGAGCCTTTTGCTTTGATAGATGTGCGCTTATCCTTAGTCTCACCCACCCCTCTCCTACACCTGCTTCTCTTCGCTCACTGTGGACAGCAGGCAGTATTTTTGGTACTTCTACTTCCTTATTCATATTTTGAAAAGATTTGTCAATGTCTTTATGAACAGTAAGAGATTAAAGATCAAGAAAATTGTGCCCTGTACAGGATGTTAGATCCTAGCCACAAAAATGTTCCTAATAGGTTCTTGAGTATATTCTACTTGCGCAGTTCATACCTAAGTGACCGCTGGGCCAGGTGTACGTAAAAGACCTTTCACTTTTATGCTTATTTATGCTGATTTGGTATTTGGTCCTGGGGAGTTTGGCTTTAGATTCAAAACAGTTCAAGGAAATTGGTGTTAGTTCTCTCTCTTTTCTAGTTGAATCTAGGGTCCTCTGATTAGGGAAAGGAGAAGCAGATCAGACTCTACCAAAAGTTGCTCCTTTCACTGAGGAATATAAGGTGACCTACCTACAGTCATTCCCTTTAGACTATAAACCATAGAGGGAACAATACTTCATTACTTCTGCTTTCCTTGAGCTACTATTAGGAAACTCTCATTCCTCTTTGGTGGGATAAAGGTATTGTTTTTTTCTGGTTTCATGGTCTTTTTATATGAAAAATTCCTAGAATCTTCACGTTTGGTGTCCCTGAAAAACTCAAGCTGCCTCTTCAATTAGGGCCTCGGTAGTAATTCTCCAGATCTGCAGCCGGTGTCCTGCGGGGAAAGGTGACAAACTTCCTGGGAAGCCAGGACGAAATATTAGTAGCCCATGCCTTTAAATTCCACTGTCCATCTTGCCTCGTAGAAATGGTGCTAGACGTAGAATGAATGAAATTCACTTTCTTTTTCAGAGACTACCATCATGTGAAATACAAACACCTAGAGTATTTTCTCTCTTTTCTCTTCAAGTTAAAACTTGAAGACCTTTTATTTCCCCCTTGGTAGTAAAGAACCATTTTTACTGTAGAAAGAGGAGCTAGGAAAATGGAGCTTGTATGAGGCAACCTGGTAATAAAAAAATCAAAGGAATAAGTCAATGGGACAGTACATCGGGTTGATTTCTGTAGGGTAATAGTTTCTGAGTCTTAAAACGTTTTTTGGAATATGGATTTAAGATACCCTCTCACTAGACATGTAGAGTAATAACTTTGTTAAATAATTTCATTATAATTAGAAGACGTGTTGCTTTTAAGTAGTCTGAGCATTGACAAAAGGTAAGTCCTCAACTTCTTTGTATAAAATCACATGAACCAGAACGAGTTTCCCAAATAAGATTTTGCTTGTAATTTGCTTCCAGTAGAGGATGGGAAGGGGTAGGGAAACACAACACGCAGAGGGGACAATAGTAATTTTACCAGGTTTCAAAAAAGAATGATTAAACTTATAAAGTGACATACTAATTCTTTTTCCATTACTTTCCCTTTACGTTGTTTAAAATCAAATTCCAGAAATAAAATTTTTTATTTATTATACTGTTTGCCTTTTGCTAAAGCTGGAAGGATAAAATAGAAAGTTCAGTGAGAAAA